GACTTTTTCTTTAAGAAAGCAGACAAGACTCCAGAAAAACCTGCAGCCAAGACTCCTGAGAAGACTCCAGCCAAAAACCCTTCAAAAAGTCCAACCAAGAGCCATTCAAAAAGTCCAGCAAAGTCACCTCAAAGAAGTCCTTCCAAATCAATATGATTACTATTTACAATATAAAGACATTAATATTACTCATTTATAATTGATTGAGTACAAAAGTCTGGGTTATTTTTGGTGAAAATAGGGCATCAGGCCTTGGTTCAGAAACCAATCCCCTATTTATAACATAGTTTCCTATGGGGAAATTGGTTCTGAGTTGTTTCGACTTAAAATATGGTTTTCAGGAACGAACTGTGTCCCTTAAGTCCAAGAACTGCCTGTACCGAGCATTTTTATGCACACCTGTGTGGTAGCAGATCAACTTACTACAATTAATGTACCTTGATAGCTGCCTATAGACCAACGGAGGACAGAAGATGGACTGAACTCCTGGATGTAGCTGACAAATACTATGAAACCTTTCAGGATGAGTGAAGACAAGATGTGAATTGCAAAGTGGACCAAGCCCCCATCCTACTACTCTTTCCTTTAGGAACTGCATTTGAAAACAAAGCAAACCCAGACATACACCAACCATGTGATTTTAGCACCTTTTTGACACGATCTACAAAACAGATGGACAACACTGAATTAACAAAAGAGCTTTGGAAATCCAGAGAACTTGATCTGAAAACATATGATGCATGAGGAACAAGAAGCAGATCTGTGAGAAAGATATACCACACAAATAGTCAAAACAGAAACAATGACAATACAGAGCTCTGTGGCAAAGCGATAAAAAATAAATCAGAAAGAGCTGACAGAGAAACCACCATCTCTGCCTTGCATGCCCTAGTGACGCATACAAGTAGTTCAGTTAGAGCTGTATATTGAATTAAGCGACATCAGTTATTTAAAGTTACAGGCTAACCATGTGCAAGCAGAGCTTGTCACTTCTGTGCAGACTACACATAGAACAGAATTACTGAAGAGTATGTGCACCCACAGCATGAAACAGTAACTGTACACGAACTAATACAAGGCACAAGCATAAGCACCTTTTCTCTCATTGACTTACCTCTAACTGACGAACGTTGTGAATCAGCACCACGACAGCTAATATTGCCAAGATCATGCAGAAGATGTGGAATCTGCAGAAGTTGGGCCACATTGTCCACTCATGTCTTTCCCACCCATGTAACATGCTGCCATGGTTTCCATAGCCAACAGGCACTGATGTCATTGTAACTCAATATTACAGAGATTTCAGCTGATTTTTTCTGCATTAGTCTCCCCCTGTGAAGAACATAAGAAGATAACAAGTACCACACTGGGTCAGACTAACAGTCCACGTAGCCCAGTTTCCCGTCTCCAACAGTGGAGAGAGTAGATGCTTTAGAGCAGTGGTCTCCAAACTTTTTTTGATCGTGCACCCCTATCAGTAAAAAAATTTTGAGCACACCCCCCCAATATATGTATTAACTGGGCACACGTAAACTGCAACAGAAGTTCTAATATTTTCTTCCTGCATCCCAATGAATCGTCTTGTGCACCCCACTTTGGAGACCACTGCTTCAGATGGACAGCACTGAAAGTGGGTACACCTAAAGCAATCTAAACCTTGTTCATTAACCTCTGGCATCCACCAGGCCTTTAGGTATATGAGACAGTGGGCGCATTTACATGTGAAATTAATGGAACACAATAAGCTCTGGCACATTTATCTCACCAGAGTTTACTGCTCCTGGGCATCACATATACATCTGTACCTGGGGGCACAGCACATTAAGCTAGGTTGTAGCAGCCCTGGCTCAATGTTCTGCAGAGGAGGTGGTTGGAGTACACAGGTATCCCCCACACTGAAGCACCCTTGTATCACAGCCAGTCCTGTCAGCATCTACACATGCAATGCTGTGCACTAAAGAACGCTGCCAAGGATTAGTACTTGTTTAACCTGCAGCAGAGTTAATTCGTTTCCTGTGGCCTAACGGGGCAACATATGTAGACGCCAAGACTTTATCGTGGAGCTAATTAGGCAGCTCTGCAGTAAACATCTCGTGTAGATGTGCCCAGTATGCTGCATTTGGGAAAAGGAGTGACTGAACTTTGTGACAAGAAGAAAAGCAGAAAAAATGTACCCAACATCCCAAAAAAGTCTATTATTATTCAACCTAGATGTAATTTCAGTCATGAAATTTAGCAGTTCTCTTCAGTTTGGAAGCAACCCCTCACACACAGTGTCAAAATCTGGCTTTTACCCTATGGAAGAAAACTGTTTGATCTCTTATCAGTAACTACAAATAGAAAAATTGTATTTAGAATTTGGCCTCCACATTGAAAAATCAGCCCCCCTTTTTAGGTGTCTTTAATTGGGCATCCAGAAAAAGCTGGTTACTACTGAAATTCTTGGGTTCTTTTGGGCTGGGTGATGATTATCAGAGGGCAGACTATTCATTACTTTCTGAAAATCATGCCCACAGATTGCTAATCAGTTCTGTAAATCTGAGCTAGAATGACCAAGAAAGACTACAGTTCCAACCTTGAACCCCTTTTTGGTCTAGATTTGCTTCAGATCAACTGAAATTCTGCTCAAGCAGAGTCAAGCTATGTGAGTTTTCCTATACATTAGATATTTTTGCCTCCAGACATTAATGCAATTTTAAAAGCTGATAATTAGACAGCAAATACCAGAACCTCAGAAGCTAACTGAAGACTTCTGAAGCAGTAGATACAGTATGTTTTTCCTGCTATAGTGCATCATTAAGTTTTTACATGCTACTCTCACAGTGCTCATCCATGTAAACCCATGATGATAAAAAAAATTACATTTGGAGAAAGGTGTACTGAAATGTTCCTTTAAGTAGTCATTACTATTAGTGCTTCTTTATTAATAGTTCATTCAAATTAAACAACACAGCCATCTACCTATTATGAAATGCACAGAGCCTCCTTAGAGTTTCTAGATGCTTTGAGCCAGGGACTTAACAACTTCTGAGAAACTGTGCTTGCAGTCTGGCATGTCCTCAATTTCATATGTTCCTTCTTTCTTCAAGGACAATCCCGAAAGGCTCATTTTTTGGATAGACGTATACGTTCTTTGCTGTAGTGACCTTTAAAACTTAGATAAGAGAAAGCAAGTGGAAGAAAAGAGAAGTCAAAAGACAAAATCTTCTATCACGTACGTTAAATCCAAATTTATTAGCATAACCACCCAAAAGGTATCTAATAATTTTGATGTGCTGAGATAACAAATAGTATAACCACCCAAAACATTAGCATAACCACCCAAAAGGTATCTAATAATTTTGATGTGCTGAGATAACAAATAGTACATTTTCTGGCAGTTCAAGACCTTAAGTGAACAGTACTGTATAAATTTAAAGCAAAGATATCACCAGTACAATTACTTATTAAATGTCATTTGACTGACAACAAATGAAAGATCCGATTATTTCAGTAATATTTTTCAATCATAAAAAAGACTGCACGTGGAATTGCTTTATAAGGATTAGATAGTTTATACCTCTACTGCTTTCCAAATGGATTAGAGAGATTAAACCTGGTATATTTTCACTGATGAATGATCATGGTAAGGGCAAAGTATCCATTTAAAAAAGGACCCATAATGTTTTTAAATAACTTTAAACATGCCAGTGGAAATTCAAGATCTTATTTGAAAGAAATGGAAACCAGGATTGAACACAGCATCTGAAGTAGTGAGCTCAGGCTCACAAAAGCTTATGCTATATCTCTCTGATTTAGTCTTTAAGGTGCAAATATACCCTGCCTTTTAATTGACTTCAGACTAACTGCCTCTTTTTGTACATTTAAGTAAGACTACAGCACACACACCCTGCCTTTGCCATATTACCAATCCCACTCACCTGAAAGCAATTTAAAGACATGATCAAAGCAAGACTCAAACTTAGCTTGAAAGGAAGTATGGTGCCACATTCCTGGAGGAGACTTTCACATGTTTTTCTACACAAAAGAAACACACTCTGTTGCTTGGGATCTATGGATTTTTAAGAGATACAAAAAGTAAAGTACACGGATGTGCATATGACTGGGACAGCATTAGATGGCTAGAATAACCATCAAACAAATGGACAAACAGATTTATAGTTATGTTATAATACATCTTTGGTTCTACCCAGTACCTGTACACCAGAAACGTATACTACCATTCCGATCTCCAAAAGAGCTTCAGAAAACCGCATTAAAAATACCTTAAGCCTGCTGAGAGAAGCATTCTCTCTACCCCAAAGCACATTTAAGGACTAGGTCAAGTTGCATTCAGCCTTGGGCCAATGACCACCAACACAAACATTTAAACAGGTCCCATATATTTCATCATAGCAGTGGTAGAAACAAGACATGGTACCATTGACAAAATGAAATCCCCAGCTTGATGAACATTCACTTCTAATAACTGAAGGACTCCAGATACTGGACCTTAATATAACGTCACTTTGTAGGGCTGGCTAAAGCTTCTTTATGTCATTTGCAGAGGTTCTTCAAGGCTCCATCTGAGCCCAGTAGATGCACAGTAACCAAGGCTTTATAATGGAAGAACACAGAATATAGTTGCTATAACATTTTTCAAAACTCTCAGCTCCATACCAGTTTATTTATTTATTTGCAAATGCCAGAACACAAGCTGGTGTTGTTCAAAGGTCCCCTTCACTGGCACTCATTTCTGGTGACTTACAGAACTCATTTGTGATTTCATCATTTGCAAATAACGTGCCTGTCTGATTCTGATATAAATAAACACGATCAGCATTTCCAGCCATCTTCAACTCTCTTCCTGTCACTGGCAGTCTGTGTAACGATCTGCATGAGAGTAACTATTCCTGTAACCAGAATTCTTATAGTTCCTCAATATTAAATCTTATATTTTAGCATTTGACATACAGCTACACAAAATGCAAAGCAGTTCAAACAGTTAGGGGTTTATAATTTTGTACGCTTATAAATGGGTTGATGCTTTTAGTGTTCCATCTCAATTTTGAATTTTCTAGCATTGCATTTTTAAAAGGGGGAGGAGGGGAACTGGTACTTCACTGCTTGCCCGATTTCAAGTTACTGCATTGCCATGAGACAATGTAGAAAAGGCTCAGTGGTGTCTTTATATACTATACTGATGTATTGGTGCTCCCTGCTGCCCAATCCCAAGGAAACAGGTCATTTTTGGATGGCTGAAACTGGCTATCCTGGTCCTTTCAAATTCCCTAAGCCTTATCTAGCCTAAGAAAATCTGCCCAAGTAACTACCAAGGTCCACCGAGATAAAAACCTCGTGTAGGCGAGCTACTTACCCTGGCAATTCATTGGTACAACACACACCATGCCTGCGGTGGAGGGCTGTGCTGACGGAACTCCTTGGCCGTGGCTGCAACTCTTCCGAATTGCAGTCAGTCGCCAGCCAGCCTGCAAATAAAGAACAACAGCGCTAAGCGCCGGAAGAGCTTTGCGCCGCAGAATGGCAGAGAACCGCGCGACACGCGTGGGAGAGGGGCCCAGCGGAAAAGCTGGCGAGACAGAAGCCGTGTCCGACGGCAGTGAGCTCCGCTCGGGGAAGGCACGGCCACGCACCGGCGGAGACACGCGTGTCAGGGGTGGCAAGGGGCAGACAGCGATGTCCGCGCTAGGGGCTGAGACCCCTACTCCCAGTGCCTCCCTGGAGCATGAGGTGCAACCGCTCTGAGGGTGCGCGGCACTCGGCCTCCGCAGGTGCCACCCCTGCCGCACTGGCAGCAATCCCTCGGCAGCGGGGCGGGGCCCAGCTCCTGCCGGATGTGGCGTCACGGAGGAGCGGGTCTCCAGAGTTCTAGTCCAGCACTCGCCGCTTCCCTCCCAGCCTTGCCCGAGGGGCTGAGGGACCGCTCCGCGCTCACCCGGCCCCCGCCCCGCGCCATCGGCGCCTGCAAGATGGAGTCGCCGCTCGCGCAGGCGCAGCCCCGCTCAGCCCTGGGGGCGGATACAGGCCTGAGCGGGGGGCGCCTCGCTTCAACCCCTCGCCCCGACTTGGCTGCCCCTCCTGAGGCTAGAGCGGCTTCTTGGTGGCTGTCTCTGCACCCCCCCCCCCAGGGTTGTTAGTGAATTAGGCGCGCGGCGGAGCGAGGGGTTCGTCAGAAAAGCGCATCGAGTCCTAAAAAAGGTCCACGCGTGCCCTGTCGTCTTCACCAAGGAGCTGGGGCCGCGGGCGTAATCCCGTTCCTTCAAACCACAGTAGGATGGCAAGCAGAGGACAGTCTGGTTTCCTGCTACTCTGGTGATACGAAACCCGCTGCCTTCGTGCCCTCTGCTTTTCTCATTTCTGGCAAAATCCACACTCTTGCGCACCTTAACTTACTGCTAACAAACTTAAATTGCATACAGATGGGTTTATCCCAATCCAAAGATGTATCCAACCTTTCTGCCTCTAGTGACTGTTGCATATTAGACTTCCCTTCACTAGCACCTTCACCCATGGAATACGTGGGACCTTTTTTAATCTGTATGTGGGTCGTCATTGGCCCAAGGCTGAATGCAACCTGACCTAGTCCTTAAATATGCTTTGGGGTACAGGAAATGCTTCTCTCAGCAGGCTTAAGGTGTTTTTAATGCAGTTTTTTGAAGCTCCTTCAAAAAGGAGACATTGGGATTAAGGAACCAACTTCAGCCTCATTTTTCCCTTGGTGTTTTGGACCAGGAACAGCCCATTCTCTGGTAAAGAACTTGCCCGGTCAAAGACCCCGCAGCAGGGCAGCATGCTTCTGACACCCCCTAGCTCAGAGGTTGGCAAGTTTTCACACACAGTGCCAAAAACACCCGCAACGTCAACTTGCACAATGTTGGCATTCCAAATGCATATAACGGGGCAGCCACTGGGGGCCCAATCCTTGTTGCTGTGCAGCCCCGGCCCCTTCCCTGCCATTCACACAGAGGGATGCGTACCAAGCAAAATGCCTTCAAGTGCCACATTCTGGCACCTGTGCCAGGGGTTGCCTCCCTCTGACCTAGCTTGGTCTGAAATCTCTAGGGGGTCTCTTGGGATTCACACCTAAGCAGATGCCAAGGTTTTGTAGCACCCTTGAAAGGATCTGAAGGCACCCCAGGATGGCATCAGGGTGCAGCATTACTGTTAAAGACTGACTGAATCAGACAAAACTTTCAGAGCATACCCCTGCCTTTAGGATACTCAGGCAGCAGTACAGTTGCAGCAATGGGTGAAGGTGCTAGTGCTGGGGGTGGGGGGGAACCTAATATGCAAAGGTTACTATAGGCAGAAATGTTGGCTAAATAGAAATTCCCTCAAATAGGAAATAAAGGACACATCACTGGAGGGTGAATACACAATTTAAAAGGACTCACTTTAAGTGGGTAATGCTATCTGCCTCCCCTTGCTTTGCACTTAATATGGGAGCAGGAAGAGAGGTTTTCAGTGCTTTCTCACTTAATATGGGACATCTTTGGTGACATTTCCAAGTATTTCTACTCACACGTAGAAGGGAAATTTTAAAACCTTTGTTTCCATTTCTGTCCTCATGCCTCTGCTAGGGTTTTTCGAGCATGTTCAGCATGTGACAACTCCCTTCCTAACTTTTTTTAACTTGGCCCCATGAATCAGCCTGTGAATTTGAAAGCTAGGTCAGTTATTTAGGTTTCAAAGTACAAACTTAGCTCTTCTAAACTATGGTAACTGAAAATGCTGAGCTTTTTTTTTTTTTTTTTGGAAGGGA